ATTTTCTTACCTGGAATTCTGCCTTTTTGAACAGACTTTTTGATTGAGTCCTAGCTATATTGTCTGCAGTTCTGGGGTTAATATGAATCTAATATGATTGTCATCGGTCTAAATTAGATTTCAAATGATTAACTGTGTATGTAATGAAGATCATAGTGTGGGTTGAATCCATTTTTAGAACCACTGTCTTTTAACTGATTTAAATGCGGAAACTGGGCTTATTCATCAGAATTTCGTATGACTTGACTTGACTTGCTTGACCTGAGCAATGACTTGACTTGACTTGCTTGACTCTCACCACAGTGACTTGGGACTTGCTTGATACTTGTAGGTCAAGACTTGAGACTTGCTCATGACTTGCTCATGACTTGCACATGTAGGACTTACTCCCACCTCTGGCCAATACTGACCAGCCTCTGCTTCAAGATGCGATGATCGACGGTATCAAACGCTTTGGAAAGGTCAATAAATAGAGCTGCACAACTCTGCTTATTATCTAAAATACTCGCAATATCATTCACCACTTTCATTGTCGCAGTGATGGTGCTATGTTGCTTTCTGAAGCCTGACTGATGTTTAGACAGGATGTCATTTGTACATAAAAACTCCTTTACCTGTTCACTCACTAGGCGTTCAAGAACCTTAGCCAGAACTGACAATTTAGAGATTGGCCTATAATTATTTAAAATAGTTGCCTCCCCTCCTTTTAGTAAAGGCAGGACATAAGCTGACTTCCATAATTTTGGAATTGTGTTTGTGCTGAGGAAGAGGTTAAAAAGAGAAGTGAGAGGTGGAGCAATAAACTCTGCAGCTATCTTTAAAAAGAAAGGTTCCACGTTGTCCGGGCCGGCCGGTTTCTTAGGATCTAACTTGGATAAGGCTTCATGAACAATATTAATAGTCTAAGGAGTAAAACTGAAAGGGTTTTCCAGATCACATTGTTCAGAGTCACGGACTGTGGTGATCACAGAAGCAGAGTAACAGAATCGAACAGAGAGCCACAGGACACAAAATGCTCATTAAAACAATTGAACATGGTGGCCCTGTTTTGTTCTTGTTTCTGTGTAGGTGGTGGATATTATGCGTGTCAATGTGGACAAAGTGTTGGAGCGGGACCAGAAGCTGTCTGAACTGGACGACAGAGCCGACGCCCTGCAGGCCGGAGCCTCCCAGTTTGAAACCAGTGCTGCCAAGCTGAAGAGGAAGTACTGGTGGAAGAACTGCAAGGTGCCTAGACACAGTTTAGTGATAAAACAAACAAATGAAATTACAATGTTTTCTGTTTTGCCAAATACAAAAGTATTCGTGCTCAATTTCACACACATAATAATTAAATTTAAAATAATATTGTTAAAGGAAAGTTCAATTGTTATTTAATCTGCAAATGAATAGACATCTTAATCCCAGTTCATGTGTGTGGCACTGACTATGCTGAACCCTTACCTCTTGCAGATGTGGGCCATCCTGATAGCTGTCATAGTGATCATCATCATCATCATTGTTAGTGAGTATCAAACCTGTGGTGCCTACCTGTAATTACTCTACTAAGAATTCAGTTGGATCTTGGTTGTTGATATTGAAATCTATTAAAAGAGTGTAGATATATATATATACTACATACTTTTGTTTATGCCGTTACATTCCTTGGTTAATAAACATGTCCTCTTCCAAGTCTTTCATCTGAAATCCTTTACCTCCTTCATTCACAGTTTGGAATTACTCCTAAAATCACAACAAAAATGACAACAGGAGGAGGGGTGGAGAATACAATGAAGAAGAGGAGAGGAGCAACGTTCATATTTGATCTCTCAGAGGAAGACAACATGCCATTTCTGGCAACTGAGCTCCACAGTTTTTCAGGTCTTCATTCCTTGTCCTGGTTTGCCCTCAGTGTGTGTGTGTGTGTGTGTGAGTGGGTGGGGGTGTGTGTGTTTGCAAATGTGCCTGAGTAAGTGAATGTCACCATACCAGAGTTTAACCCTGCATTACTACGACATACCAGACATCTTTACACTTCTAATGGAATTCTTTGCCACTTGCCAAAGAAAACAGAAACATATATATATAGAAAAAGGTCAATCATTCAACTTGAACTGCATAAACCTATGAAAAAAAGAATAAATAAACAATCTTCAAACGTATACAAAAGCACACACACATACTCCAAACTCAGGACTAGAATTGAAAATTGCGATTGTAAACTCTCCTCAAGTTATATTTACTTTTTTATGTTTGATTAATAGCCATTGATTTGTGTGTGCCAGACTAAGAGAAGTGCCTTTGAGGATATACTGTTCTGTGTGTTGGTTTGTATTGTAACCCTGCGTATCATTGAATATATGATCCCTCTCAAACACATACACATTTGTACTTTTCAGATGCCAACATTTCCAATCTTCTCCTAATTTTTAAACAAAGAATTGTACTATACTGTCACTTGAATTAGTGCTGTGCCTCTTCTAAACGTGCCGATAGCTTGGTCTCCGGTATTGCTGCTTTCATCATTCTCAAGAACCGCTCATTCAAAAAACTTCACACTCATCTCTGTGTGGCGTACACTCCTGGGCAACACACCCTCCGTTATACACTTTTCATCCCCTAGCAATGCTCGAGTAAACGCTTCATTTAGCTGCAAATGTTCACACAAATATGGATGAAAAAAGATAGCATGCTGTTTCAAACACTACATAGTGTGTACATTACACACCACTAATATAATCCTTCCTTTGTGTTCCCAGCAATATACCTTCCAAGTGTGAAGTCAATTGTATGAACGGTTGTTGAGAAAGTTGAAGGACAGACAGACATTCAGACAGAAACTCCTTCCATTATAGTTAGATGTCTCAGGCAACCTGGGAATGATGGGATGAGTTTGCCTTATTTTATTTATGCACATGGTTAACTGTTAAAACATTTCTATGTGTAAGACGTTTGATTCTGGGTTGAATAAAGAGGAATTTCATTGGTCACCCGACAACAGATAAGCTAACCAGTAACACACTGTTGAACCACCTGATCATAGCTGTCCATCTTCCTTTCACAAAGGACTCTGTAACAATGAACTAGTATGAGCTTGCGTTAAGATAAGTGCCTATATGTTAAGTCTCACGGCTTGGCAAGAGACCATGCCATGAAGTTAAAAAGTGCTACACTGGTTTAAGAGTTGCAAATGGTATCAATCAGGTGCCATGAAGTTGCCTTTGTTATATATTCAAGCACAATACTTAGGAACATTTAGTGTTAGACAGATGCCTTAATAGGTTTCTCCAATGGAGAACAGCCAAAATACAGCCTCACTGATCATAGAGCAGTGAGTAAACTAGTAGTGCCTTCTCAATGCTCCAACTGTACAAACCTGCTGCTTGCTTTTCTAGCTGAGCTAATTAACGTTTTAATTAAGTCTTCTGTTTAGTCACACTGGCCTTTATTCCACCTGATCAAGGCAGAGTTCTTCTCACGTGTGATATTTTAGTTTTATTATGCCTCTAACAAAAGCTCTCTTTTTTTTGTACTAATCTTAGGGAGGCTGTAGGTGTTTGTTGTCTCTGGGTTCACGGCTGCTGAGCATCGTGCGTGTTTGAGTGTAGCGATAGACTTGGCACACTGGATTGATTGCCTTCCCTGCTGTTGTCTTCTTCATATTCAAATACATGCATTTTAATATTCACTCATAAATTGCATTACTGCAAGGACTGTTGAAGTTGCATTTTCTGTAGTTTTTAAGACATAGTGGTTATTTTTGCTTTCACGGTGCATTGTTGATACTATGGTCACTCAAATGAATAAAGATGGGCTTTGAGTGATAAATCCATTAAGGAAATTGTTAAGTATTTTGACAAGCTTAAACAGTCCTGGTTTTTATCACAGATGTGTGGTCACCATCCTCTCCCGTCTACACCAGTAATTTGAGTACATTTGTGTCATCCTACTCTCCCTAAATGCCTTTTGCTTGAATAAAACATTCAACTAAAATAACAAAGCCTCATCTGTTTGTTTCTGGTATTTTTACTGTTTCCAAAAGCAGCTCATGGACTTGCTTCTGACTGCTAGTGCTGTTCCATATTCATAGATGGCTATATTATATAAACATGCACTTCATTCCTTTGTTGGAACACTCAGACAAAGGCATGTTCCAAAATATATTTTTCTCCAATTCTAAATAAGGGGCTGAAATGCAGTTGTGGAACCACTAAGTATTACATTGCCCTTCATTTGACACAGTAAAACAAGCACAGATGTAAATAGTAAAAGAATGATGACTCCATTTATTGTGCATGCTGGCTCACTGTTATGAAATACTTGAATAGAGCAGTGCTTTTGTTAATATTATTAACACTGTTAATAACACCTAGCCCATTACCAAACGTCCATTGAACTCAAAGAGCCAAGTTAACTCCTTAAACCAATCATGAATACCCACATCATTTAAAATCAGCAACACACATTGAATTGTAATACATGTAAAAAGTAACATTATGTAAAAAATACAATCTGAGCATCAGAACAAAACATTGTTTACATACACTGCTCATTGGTCAGTGAGCATAAAGCAGGAAGCAGGAGCTACACATAAAGTAGAGCTTCAGTGACGTATCAGTCCAGTCAGTTAAGCAAAGATGGATATGTGAGTAAAAATAGAAGAACAATTGTATTTACTTACGCTTTAGGTATAATCATGGAAGCGGTATCAAATGAAAATGTACTCAATGAAAACTTTATTTAACCCTTAGATGCACGAGTGACTGGACCACACTCTTCCATAAGTGGGTCAAAAAGGACCCGTATTAGAATAATATGTGTTTTTATGCCATTTTGGTTAAGAAAAATCACTTGTATAATATTTAGTATTATATTTTGGTTCACATTAGAAATATTTTATATTTAATTTTTCACTATTTATAATTTTAGACATTCTTTTTACATTTTGAAAAAAAACGTTTCCCATAGGATTCCATAGAAAATGCATGCGGGTAATTTTTGACCCACTTATGGAAGCTTGGGCTAGTAATACAAAAACTACAATTTCTTAAAATGTAAATACATTTTTTGAATGGCATGATATCCAAAACATGTTTTTTGAGGAATAGCTGGAATATGAAATGATAAAAAAAAATGTGATTACAAAGATACTTCAAGAAAACCACCTCACCGGGTCAAAAAAGACCCACTTGTGCATCTAAGGGTTAACGTGCGCTGCACACACATTGCTACTTTAACACGGCACTGTTAAAAAGTCCCCTCTAGGTAGCGCCAACGGTCCAAGTCCAGACTTGATCAAGTAAAATGAAAGAAACGTAACACATTTTCCTTGGTCTCTAATACTTACCATTAAAACAACAAAAGGCCTCAATGTGGTGTTTTTAAAAAACTGATTTTTCTACATTCCACAACATTGTGTCTCCTGCTGTCTTTGCCTGGACATAAGGCACGTGGATGTGTTTAGTTGGGAGTGCAGCTTCCTGGACCAGCCAGTGACTCAAGTTTCGCCATCTATTTGTCTCTTCCTCACTTAGAGAATTTCTGCATCTCTGCAAAGAAGTATAGGAAAGTTCAAAGTTAAGGAAGATTGAAAATGAGACATTTGTTTTTCACTGATCTGACTTTGATTTTGTGTTACCTTTGTCAAGATCAATGACTTTAGGCTGAGTGCTAGTGTGGACCTTCTCTTTCAGCAGGTTGTTCTTGAAGTCTAAAATCACACAGGAGAAAGTCAAAACACACACACACACCAGGCAAAAGCCGCTTTCTTCATCTTTCCTTAATCCTTACCAAGTCTTTTCTCTCCTTCAGGCTCCAGACTGCTCACATTGCCATCAGCAATGTCCATCTCAAACTCTTCTGAGCTGCTCTCACTTCTGCTTGACCTATCACAGTATGATATAGACAATTGAGTGTGTTAAATGGTAAGACAGTCATTATGCGAGTGTGTTTTCTGTGTTCTCACCTCATAGATGGTTGAGGGTAAAACTCTGAAACCAAAGAAGATAAGATGAGATTTAGAAATGTTATTTCAATGTAAATCTACAGTCTGACTAAGATACAGCAAGTCATACCTTTGGTTTTACGTCTGCGTGTGATGAGGATGATGATGAGTACAACGAAGGCCAGGAGCAGGAAGGAGGTGAGGACGTAGCCCAGCGGCATCAGAAAGTGGTGTCTCTGGTTGGGCAGGATAACATTGATGACTCGCGGTGATTCAGCCTTAGTGGTGTCTGAGTAGTGCAGAGATCACAACAGTCACCATTTAGGGTTTACAAATGGTATAAACAACACCAGACTTTACATAGAACATAAATGAGTAACACAGACCTTCCATTTACCTTTCAATTATCTTTTACAGTCACAACAGTTACCATCTTATGTCAAGATGGTCAAGATGGCCCTATTGATACATTTCTAATTACTCTCAATTTCCTCAAGAACAACCATAATGCTTTAGCGTTGGAGTTAAAATGTCTCAACATCTTTTCGATGGGTTGTCATAACATTTGGGACACATTCATATCCTCCTTTGGATGAACTGAAACGACTTTGGTCATCATCCCTTGATCTAGCATCAGGTGTAAGATACTTGTTTATTGAGAGCTAATCAGATAATGTTAGCATGCTCATGTTTAGCTCCAGTGCTAAGAAGTATAGCCGCACATAGAAGCTAGCAATGATGTGAATAAGTACGTTTCTGTGATATAGTGGATTACTACAGGGCTAAATAAGTATTATATGGTGGCTATAGGGGAGGCTGTGGCTCAGTGAATAGTGTGATAGACTTCGAATCAGGGGATAGCAAGTTCGAGTCCCACTGCAGTCAGCATGTCGTTGTGTCCCTGGGCAAGACACTTCACCCCAAATTGCTCCTGTGGGGATTGTCCACAATACTCAATGTATGTAAGTCGCTTTGGATAAAAGCGTCTAACAAATGACATGTAATGTAATGTAATATATTCAAGGAAATAATTTAAGGAAGATATTGCGATTATTTTTGATGTATTAAATAAATAGCTGTTTAGTAATCATAACCTCTTTTCTGCACACCAAAAGACTGGACTGTTGAACTTAAATTAATCTTGACTTTTTTTCCCAAGGGAATATTCGGTTTGAGTTGAATGTGTGTTTGCAGTGGCACACTACATGTAATGCTAGGAGATTTCAAGCCCAACAAAGAAACATTTCACTGTGTGCTGAGGCTGCATGTGTGTGAGTGTGTGTGATGCCACGTAACCTTTGTGATAGGTGATATGTGCGTTACTGCTGAGTGTTGAGATGCATGATGGGGTTGGGGGTTTAGGGGGCTGCTTTCATTTTGCTTTATTGAAAAAACTGCAAGGCAAAAAGCAGCTGTGGACCTCAGACTCGACACATTTAAGCCAAAATGAGATCCAGACAGAAAGTCATGCTGTGATTTACTTTTCCTGGCAGTAAAACACAGAAAATAGAGGAGAGGAAGAGGAGTGAAGGAAGGACAGAGCAGAGTGGAACAGAGGAGAGCCAAGGGGGCGGAAACGGACAGCAAGATGTTTCTCCAGAGGTTTGCTTTGAAAAATTAAGCTAGAAAAGACCTTGATCCCAAAAACACAAACTTAACACGCTTTATACACGGCTGTTCGGCCAAGTACATGAAAACAACATTTTCATTAACACTACAAATCCCCTGATCCTTTTGTTTGGTTTAAAGCCATTAGATGCTGACCCGTGCTCGGATGTGAACATGTGTGTTTGTGTTTGGACTTGTTGCCCTGTCTACTCCTTGCTCAATCTCCACAGACAAATAACTCTGATGGGAGTGAGGGAGGGAGGGAGGGAGGGGTGACCTACATCTCCTCTCCACTATTTCATCAACAAAGTGTCCTTCAGTCTCTCTTTGTGTAGCTCCATCTATCTCAAAAACCTCATCCCTCTCACTCTGTTTGGGTTGCCAGCTGCCGCCCAGATGAGTCAAACTTCTTGTTCTGGTCCAAAAACTACAGAAAACAGTTATTTTTATTAATAAAGAAAGGTGAAAAGATAGTGAGAAAAGAGATGAATGAAAAAGAGTGAATGAAAAAGAGTGAGTGAAAGAAGCGGGATGAAAATAAACAAGCTGAGCATGTGGGATCCTCGAAGCTGGACAGAGGGAAGAGTGAAACTGAGCCAAAGCCAACAAGGCAGCAGACAGTCAGAGAGAGCAACCAGGAGCAGATAAGAAGATAGAATACTGAAGTAGACTTAAGTAAAGAAACTGTGAACACACTCTTACACTGGAGATAAATCATGTATGCATCTTGTTTTTAACCAATAGAATGACTGCATCATTACAGCTCGGGAGTAAGTGAAGGATTAATTGTGTGGGTAGACCTTCAGATACAGTCTTTACACTGTGTCCGAGAGATTCCACCGAAATGAGATCAGAGTTGGCACGCTATCGCACACACACACACACACACACACACACACACACACACACACACACACACACACACACACACACACACACACACACACACACACACACACACACACACACACACACACACACACACACACACACACACACACAGATGGACTTCACCACAGGCATTTCTCATTTCATTTCTAAACCCCTCTCAATGATTTTCCCAGAACACAGACACACAAAAAAACTCTCTCATTCTGCAAGAATTTGAGGTAAGAAGCTGGCATGCCAACGCGCCAATCCTCTCTTCTTCTCTCTTTCCTTTCTTCTTTCTGAAACGCACTCAGAGAACGGCAGGTCCAAGCACAGAGAAATGGGAACTTAACAATTCAGAAAGGAACAAGCAGGAAGGAAAATGGATAATGGAAGAAACAAACCACTCTGAGCAGCGAGAGAAATGCAATAAAAGATGTCTGTTGAGTTGCAGTATAATAATGAAAAAGTGGAGAGCAGGGGTGAGAAGAAGGTGCAAGGCGATGAGGGAGTGTGAGTGGTTTCAGGGGCCTGGCGTCAGACAAGCTGACATTGCAAGACGGAAATCTCTCATGAAACAAACAGAAGAGTTCAGAAGAGAGGGCTTTTCTCCCCCTTCTCCTCTAATGTTTCTTTACTCCGCGGAGAGTCTGAGGCTGGGACGAAACATAGCAAGGATAAATGCGGACAAAACGAGAAAGCACAGAGGGGGAAGTGAGGGAAAGAACAGATGTGTTTCTTTATCCTAATTGTACACATGATAGTTCACATCCACTAAGTCATAAAACATCCCCTCGATTTAGGAACTTCTATGTGTGTGTCTGTGTGTGTGTGTGTGTGTGTGTGTGTGTGTGTGTGTGTGTGTGTGTGTGTGTGTGTGTGTGTGTGTGTGTGTGTGTGTGTGTGTGTGTGTGTGTGTGTGTGTGTGTGTGTGTGTGTGTGTGTGTGTGTGTGTGTGGTGTGTGTGTGTGTGTGTGTGTGTGTGTGTGTGTGTGTGTGTGTGTGTGTTACCTTTGTCTTCACTGGGTAGTGCTTTGGCTGGCAGGGTGGCCTGAATCACCGGTGCTTCCACTGTGACCTGAAACTCTCTTCTCTCGTGCAGACCGCAGTAATGGTGGTGGAGATGGCAGGAATACATGCCCTGGTCTGTGGGCTGTTGAATACACATAGACAAAAACACATACACACATATTATACTGAATGTGCCTTCATATAAAATAATATATGATCCAAATGTTATCAACAACAACACCAGAATAGATTGTTTTGGATGTGCACACAATCAGAATTATTCTATCAAATCTGATTATATATAATTATATAATAATAATATTATGTAATCATATTTAAATCTGAAAAACAATTCAAGTACGTGAACGTTTTCATGCAGCTTTTCACACACAGCATCCTGGAAAAGTTCTTGCCATTGCCAGCATCTAAAGGGGCATTGGGTGTCTGTGCCTGTGTTGTGACAAACATGGTTTACAAATGTGCTCATCATTGAGTTAAGCAATCACTATTTAATTGTATCCATAAAAGCTAAGAAATGATCTATTGCTGTCTTGCCAGGGTAAAGGGGTTTGTGTTACATAAGAGCTAATTATACATACTTTATGTCTTCAAACATGAAACAACAACAGGCGTGGTGTGACAGTCAGCTGAGTGTTGCCTGAAGCTGACTGGAAAGCTGGTCTCGTCCACAGTGTGGGCCCATGTTCTGATTTATGAGCAATATCAGAAGACACCAGGACCCTGACAATCCAAAGACGTGACTGTCAACTTTTCTTTGTTTGCTATAATTACAAACGACACAAAGTGGACTGTTGGGAAGTACTTTTGGGCATATCTTGAATTGTTCGGTATGTTGCTGTTGTTATTGTCTTAAAGAATGTATGTAGTTGCTCAACGTACTGTTACTGCCAACCTCATTTTCCCAACAGAGTTGTTAAGAGCTGAATTACTAATGGAGGTTCCATGTGTTGTGAAACACTGTTTACATCCACACACACGGACACACACACAGTAACACTACTCCAGTGGGAAGTGTACCTCTTGCCATATGATATTTCTTTACTGTATGTACTGAAACTAAAGGGCTCCTGTGTTTACTGTTAAAAACTCTCCTTTTACACACCTGCAGATTAGTTATGGAAAGGGAAAAGTCTCCCTCTGAGAATGCCTGACTGCTGATGTTCATCTTCCTCTGGAGGAATAGCGGTCCGTAGTTGCGCTGCTCTCCAGAGGCGTACAGATCCACCAGGCGGTTGGCCCGGTCGTGGCGGACCCCTGGGGACTGACGGTCCCAGTGGACCACCTGGAGGCCACAGAGGTTACATATTTTACGAAATACCACATAATCCCTTTATATTAAAAGTAAATCGAGACTGAGACTGATACAAACAAACTCATGCACTTCACTCACCTGCTGGTCCTCCTCCTCATGGCTCCAGTCTGTCCACACATTACGGCGGTTGATGCACGGCAGCACCACGGTATTGCCGAGCAGCACCACATACACCGCCTTGTGTCCATCCCAGAAACGCTGCTCTTTACGACCTTTATGTGCAACAAAAGACAAACTCAGTCAGCTTTGAGTCTGCAGCATTGAAGATTGAAGTGCTGTGTGATACTCACGTGATTTGGTGACGTTAAGCTGCACCATGATTGTCTCGTACAGGTGGCAGTAGAGATGATGGAGGTTGCAGGAGTACAGACCTCTGTCATTCATCGTCACGTCTATGGATGCAAAAATCCAAAATATTTGTTACGTATTCACTTACTGTAAAATACTAGAAAACACCATTCTGTAGTTCATGAGTTCATGAATCTTGTATGCTTTGCATTGCATCCAATTTCTCTTTCAGCTGCTTGAAAATAAATGGCAGACATACAAGAAGCAAGCACAGATGTTAAGAAAATAATCACTAAACCATTTCTGTTTGGAAGCAACTCAGTTTTGTTGTGTGTGGACATTGCAATGTTCCCTCAAGCATTTGAGTGCAATTTTCAAAAACAGCAGGTTTCAGCCACATGTTTTATGACACAAAGACCACCTCTGCTAACCACACAGAAATAAACAATTGTTTTTGTAAAATGAGTGTTATGTAAGACAAGATTCCAAACTAAGACAAGATTTCCAACTACAAATCTCCTGAGATGGGATGCATCAGGATCTGATTAACAACTTCTGCTGAAAACTTAACTGACTTATTTCTCTATTGGGAAATGTAACTTTAACAAACAAATACATAAATTAAGACCATTTTATGGTCAAATATGAATAACATGTCTAAATAATTATTTTCTAGCATTTCACTTTTTCCCTACTGGTTTGAACCTAAATTGATGGCAGACTTGAGGGTAAGTGTACATTGACCCTAAATCTAGGTGTATTTAGTCCACTTAAGAGAGCAGCTGTGAAAATGTGTGATATACTGTAAATGACTTGTGACATGAAAGTTGAGCTGAAATGAATCAGACCGACAAAGTAATAATGACCGTCACATGATGAGACCAATTCACCAGCAGCTACAGACATGAGAGTGAAAGAGAGTGACCTTTGATGACCAGGGAGAAGTTCCCATCTCTGAAGGCTCTGTGGCTGAGGCCCACCCGGCCCTGGTTGTAGGAGTTGTAGATCCTCTGTTCCCCCGCAGAGTACATGTCCAGCACCCTCTCCATGGCGTAGTCTGGCCGGGCCCGGTACATGTCCCAGTGCACCACCCTCTGCCTGTCCTTTAGCTGGTCTCTGGTCCACACCATGCGGCCGCTCACACACTGTAGCAGCACTTTGGACCCAGCGGGGGCGCTCACATTGTACCCTGCCACCACCACACTGCTGCTGCTGCCAGACTGACCTGACACTAGAGAGTGGGGGGGGGGGGGAGTTTACACACTAAGTCCCTGAATACAAATGCATTATATGAATCTCAACTGCACACACAGAAAAACATACCTGCAGTGAAGAGGCAGGCAACAGGGACTGAAATAGAAACAGAGGTAGTGAACGTACAAATTACTTAAACAGACGCTGCCAGACTGCCACTGCATATTGTGTTAACTTAAAATGTAAAACTCTTGCATGTTGAAAGGCTTTCTTAATGCAGACTCAACTCAAGTTGGTTCAATTAATGAAATCATTCAGGGTCTGTGCATGATATCAAGTGTCAATCAACTGAGGCTTAAAAAAACTGAAATATACCTTATTGAAAACAATAGTTCAAAGCACTCTTGAAGCTTATGATTATAATGTGCAGTAGACTAAAAGTGTTTTAGGACCCCGAGTCAGTAAAACTCATCTGACAGGAATGTGCTTGAAGCAGGAGGTGGACAGAAGGAAATCATCAGGTCAGGGCTGGCTTTCATATTAATCTCAAAATACTCAAAATATTCTGTTTCGAAAGGTCAGCCAATGATGTGTTTTCTAACACTTAAAATAAGCTTGGTGATTTCAAAGTCTTTAAATATGCAGCTTGGAAGAAAATATGGGAAAAAAACAGAACACTTTAAATGTAATCCATTCAAGTACTAGCAACCATTTAAAAACAATAACGACAAGTTTAGAATGCCTACTCTTGGATGCACACAGAGCTGGGACATATGTAAAACAATGCTACAATCTCCAAACTCTAGTCTACTTACTGTGGATCAAGAGGAGAGCCTGAAAAATGATGTCCTCCCTCTCGGGCTTCATGTTGACTGCTGTAATGGTGTAGAGAAATGTTAAGGATGTGCACCTGGCAGGCGAGCCTGAGGGTAAGAAAACATGCAACCTGTATCCATCCGCAGCAGCAGCAGGGCTTGACCAGATTTCAGTGTTTGAACAAGAACCAGACAGCACCGCGTTTAGACTTCCACACAGAACCAAAACAAGACCAAACTCAACTGATCCCACCCGGGAAATGAAACCCGACACTGGCCTGCATGTACATCCCCTCGCCTCACAGAATTTAATTTACAAAAGTAACTCAAACATGTAGTCTAGATTTATGAGCAAGAACTTCAAATAATGCCAGAAAATACTTAGTTATTGTAAATTGTCAGTTCTTTGCATTTTGTAATAATAATAATAATAATTCGTTATTATAATAATGATAATCATTTGTTATTATTAATATATACTGGGCTATTAAAGTATTTAATTTATTTCACCCATGCTTGATCTCTTTAATAATAATAATAGTGCTGGACAAATCGTCATCAGTAAATCAATCCTCACCACAAATAAACTAATATAGGCCCTTTTTTAGTCCTTCATATCACATTCAGTGTATATCGCAATAGTAAGCCTGTTTCTCTAGTTAAGTAGCTCTTGTCCCACTTAATCCACAATAGACTGTAGAGTTTTCACCGCCTTGTTCAGCTCAAAGACGACCCTTAGTGGCTGATGTTATGCTATGACTACACAGGTACTGTATATCATCGAAGGGTGCTTGTAACAATATTGCAAGGTGTATTACTATTGAGGACAGAACTGTATTTATTTCCACATGTATTTCTACATTTATGTATTCGTATATTAATGTATTCCTGTATTTATTTATTTGCTTGTTTATTTTTTCATACATTTATTTATGAATTTATTATTATTTATTTATACTTCTGTCATGTTCCGTCCTCCATATATTTCTGCATCAATTAGATAAGGAATGTTGGCGGTGGAAACAGTAGACTACTTACTGAATCTACATTAGAATTGACCGTATTTCGATGAAGAGTTGACTTTTTTCAATGTTCGAGTTGTTCTTCCCTTAAAATAGTAGTTCCCATACCGGGAGTCGAACCCGGGCCGCCTGGGTGAAAACCAGGAATCCTAACCGCTAGACCATATGGGACTGGTGCATAGAGAGAAGGACGTGTACTTCAAAAAATTACCCAGTATAACGACAACAACCAATAATATCATGATATGGCTTGTATCAATAGTAAGCGTTCATTCAGATTTTCTGTTGATTATTTAATTCTGCTCTAGATTCATTTCAAGAGAAAAAACAAGACCATACTTTTTAAATCTCCGTTTATATTAAGGGCAGTGGTGAGGTTGTTATAACGTGCCCTATTTTGTAAAATGTAAATTGATCACATGTTTTATTTAATATCGGTATCAACTTATTGTATATCAGACAATATACCCTCGACTTCTAGCTGAAAAGCGGATATTTAACCTCATGTTGTGATTACCAAGGATATTCAGAGATAGCGTTGCACACGCGGAACTTTCGTTTCAGATTTGTTGACATCCGGCGCGTTTGGATGTTACACCTCAGACGCTTCCCCTGAAACAAGCGAACTCATTCAAGGGTTTGTTACTGGAGGTAAATTAGTCTAACAAGTGCACTTATTTAAAAGGATGTCGCTAAATTGTCAATATATGTTATTTTAAATGTTATTATAATCTCCGCAAATCGAGGTTAGACTTAAATAAGCAGTTTCTGCGCAGTTTGAGTGATTAGCTGCGTCAGTTAGCTAGCATGCTTGCTCGGTATCGTAGCTAACTTTAGGCTAGCTATCACCCGGTGTCACGGCAAACTCGGAGCAAGGAATTGTCCTGACCTTTTATCACTACTTTTTATATTGCTGGACTCTCACATAGTACCCTCTTCTCTTTTTGCAGGTCCTGTGCTAAACATTGAACCATGTTTTTGACAAGATCGGAGTATGACAGGTAGGTGCAACACAAACTGCTTTGTCATTAATTGAGCGCTTATCCGTGTGAACAAGGAAACTTATGAGAGCATAATTCTGCTAAGAGATGTTTTGGCAGGCAATTGTTGATGTGTAGTGCACCAGGAAATCTGGACATGCTTATTTTTCATCCACTTGCTTTAACGAGGTAGCTGTTTGTTGCAGGTAGTGAGCTAACCTTAGCAGCTAGCTAGTCACTTCGCAACAAGTTCTCTTTCACTTTCGGTATAGCATTTCTTTAAAAAAAAAACATTTTATTCAACCAGTAAATCCCAATTAAGATTCAAAGGCTGTGTTAAACATTATTATAGTCAAGATGGGCAACTTTAACGCTTAATCTTCAGCAATGGAGCCTTTAAACACTAACCACAACATAATGCTAAATAACGGTATGTGTCTTTGTTGGCAGCGCAAGTTGGTTTCTACCAATGTCGAACTGATAACCATTATTATTAATAATACTAATTATAACAATATTACAAATGTTAATTTATATCTGTCTTACAGAGGTGTGAACACATTCTCTCCTGAAGGAAGATTGTTCCAGGTTGAATATGCCATAGAAGCCATAAAGGTGAGTATTGCATGCTGAATCACTTTAGGTGGCTTATATACTTTTTCTGTGTGATATTGGTACTTAACTTGAAAACAAATGTCACATCCAACAATCCTATGTGTCTGGTCTGCCTTGCTTTCCCAGTTGGGCTCTACAGCCATTGGTATCCAGACATCAGAGGGGGTGTGTCTGGCTGTGGAGAAGAGGATCACCTCTCCGCTCATGGAGCCCAACAGCATTGAAAAGATTGTGGAGATTGATACTCACATCGGTAAGACAGTCAGACACAGATTTACTAAACCTCAGACCTGAATGCTGAGTGAACTGCCTGAGTGTACTGCATGTTAACGTCAGACTGTCATTTGCTCTTCACTATAATCATGAAGTAGACAAGCAGCCATGTTGGGCTAACAATCTCTCTACTTTCAATTATACTGACATTTTATAGTGTGTTTAATACATTTGAAATGCTATGCATGTTACATAGTGGAATGAGCTCTAAAAGGTTGGGGCACATTTTAAATGGACTAAAATAAAACTAAGTCAAACCACAGATTTGCACTTTGTATTAAAACATAATTTTTTTACGAATATGTTTGTGAGATCCAAACAATGCAAACATTTACAAAATATTGATGCTTTAAATACAATGTGCATCTTTTGTTTGATTATTGCCTTATGTTCAGGTAACGCATCTTTTATTTTGCATAACGTTATTCCCTTAGAAAACGGAATAATGTTACATTTCTCCGTGTTTGATCATATTGATTGCTTTAGGCTTAAAGATAAACAGGACTGGAAGTTCATTCATTTTTCTTTCTTTCTTCCTAAAAGGTTGTGCCATGAGTGGCTTGATAGCTGATGCCAAGACTCTTATTGACAAAGCAAGAGTGGAAACACAGGTATGACGGCCAAGCACACTGAACTATAAGCAGTTTACTGACTTTGTGTTTTAACTATGAAATAATCCGTGTATATCTTCTTCCACAGAACCACTGGTTCACTTACAATGAGACGATGACAGTGGAGAGTGTGACTCAGGCTGTGTCCAACCTGGCGCTGCAGTTCGGAGAGGAGGACGCTGATCCCGGTGCCATGGTCAGTCACACATTTACAAATCATGGAGGCAAACTATTTAAACAATATGTTATATTTAAAACTTTGCAGGCATAATAAATAGTGGTCATAAACTTAAAGTAACAAGAGTTAACCTATTGCGCTATTTTTTTGTGTGAAAATTCTCATCTACTCAAACTTTAATCCAATTATGTTTTGTTTTTCTACGGCTTAATGTTTGGTGGTATTCTAGTACACAAGCGTAACGTGTTCTTTTCTCTCTGCTCTGTATCTCTATGCCATCATCTACAGAGTCGACCATTCGGCGTAGCACTTCTGTTCGGAGGATTTGATGAGAAAGGACCCCAGCTGTACGTATACATTACTATTTGTGCATTTTGCTTTAGACTCAGCAGAAACATGGTCACTTTTAGTTGTTACTTCACAGATTCTTAACTGTTATTTGTTTATGAATGAAGGTACCACATGGACCCATCAGGAACCTTTGTGCAGTGCGATGCTCGGGCCATCGGCTCAGCGTCTGAAGGAGCACAGAGCTCTCTGCAAGAGATCTACCACAAGGTACTGACCAATGCTTTTTTATGTTGAGACAGCATAAATATTATTTTGATATACTTCTTTCTTCTGGGTGACTTAGTAAATTGCCTAAACATTTTTTTTTTTTTTGAAATATAGAACTTTTCAGAATTTCATACAGGCACAAGTTGTTTAAAAGGAAATTAATTAAATGTAAATCACCAGTATTGATGGGTTGTATCTTTTCTGTTTGTCCCTCTCTCCCTGGCCAACTGACAGTCCATGACATTGAAAGACGCCATCAAGTCATCCCTCACTATTCTGAAGCAGGTGATGGAGGAGAAGCTCAACGCCACCAACATTGAGGTCAGTTCTTAATTTCTCTCTAAGTTCTTAACAATTGATTTTAATTTGACATGGTGCTTAAAAGTTGAAACCACATTACCAATGCCCATTTCAATAATTGTTTTGTTTGAAAAATGAAATGCTGAGCAGTGCTAAGTTTGTAGAGGACAGTGAGTGTGTTAATCCTGAGGTTTTAATGCAGGCTTTTTTTCTGTGTCTCTCCTGTAGCTCGCAATAGTAGAGCCCGGGAAGACCTTCCACATGTTTTCCAAAGAGGAGCTGGAAGATGTTATCAAGGATATCTAGAGCAGAAACACTTGAAAGTCCTGGTTGGAGATCTGGGCAGGAGAGGAGAGGAGAGGAACACCTGGGCTGAATGTCACAACACAACCACAACTTTCCATCAGCACATTCTCCTTACTGCATTCAGATTATTTTTGGATTGCATAAGAAGTTTCTCTTTGTAACGTGCTAATTAACTTGTCTCTCAGTATCTGAACAACTCTGTACAGCAGTCTGACCAGCGCTTACAACTGAGCGGCAGGGAAACAGTTATGGCGGGGTGTGGGGGGGGGGGGCGGGTATGTTTTTGTTACGAATCAGTACAATAAAACTGTTGTATTCAGAAAGTTGTCTGACTCTTTTTGTGTTCTTGTTTTTATGTCATGGATCCTCTCGACTAAGTATTGTTCTTTGTAAAACATCACATTACAGTTAACATAAACAGGTATTTGGTTGCAACAGTGAGTTCTGGAAGTTTGTTTACTAACAAAAAAGCTTTTTAAATCGGTTATTTTCAGCAAAAAAAATGTGTAGGGGTTTAAGAAGCTCACGTAAGTGTAAATTACCCATATCGCTCTCCCATGGTGTCCCATCACGATATTAAGAAAGTGAAAAATGGCCTCCATTAAAAGTTAAAAAGAAAATATATGAGTTGATGAAGTAATCTTTTCTTTAATTTTGGTATCTTTCACTAGCTCCTTCATTTTCCTTTTTGGACGATCATGTGTATTTATCCTCTGAAAACTTTTACGTTAATTGATTATTCTAAAATAAATGAAACCCACTAACGGATACAATAAAAACTAGTTTGAAGTTGAAGTAATGAATTTGCCTTTTGCGTTTTGGGTCAAAAGTGACCGAATGACTTTTGTTTTAATCATAAATATTGTGTTTTTCATCCAATTGCCTCAATACCTTATGTTATCCTCCACACTAGGCCTCTGAACATATACACTTGATCACCACTTGCATTGCATTTTGAGTGACTTATTCAACAGTGAAACACCCTTGATGTTTTCGGTCAGAATTGACCGCCATAGAAAATGAATGGGTATGAGTGTATTATGTTCATCCTGCAGATGGAAAACATCTACACACACGTTACGGGGAACCTCTCCCTTTCTCGTGCTGTATGATACAATGTATCATACCTTCTCACAGGTGCGAGCTCTGTGCCCCTCGAGAACCACAAACCTCTCACTTTCTCGCACTAAATGCGCCTCCCTTACTGTCTCTCAAGCAGTTATATTTGTGCCTTGCTCACATTTGACTCATTGACACAATGAGCAGGCGACCGATTAGGCGATTTTCTGTACGAGGGGCTCTGGACACATTTTTTGAACCAGATGAAGAGGAGATTGAACCAGATGAAGAGGAGATAGAGGAAGATGTCTCAGAAATGGAAGACAACAGCGATCCAGACTATGAGCCTACAACAGACCAGGGAGAGGCCCCTGAGATAGAAGCCCCTGAGGGAGAGGAGCCTGAGGTGATATTCCACAATTTTGCATTGCCAACTATGTGCGTGAACACACGCACGCACACACACACACACACACACACACACACACGTTCTGATATGGTATATTTCTCTTTCAATAAATGTTCATTGAGGAAAACAGTATCAGTGTCTTATTTTATATTCATCACAGTGAATGCTGAACTTGATGGGCCCACCGGTGGGTCCGGACCATGACATGAAACACTGGCTTGCTTGTATCAAATCAATACATCCCATACATCATTGGAACGGGAAGAATCTCAGCTACAACACTAACTAAAGCATTTCCATCTCCAGTAAACACAGCCTACAGGGCAAGCATTTTTATAATATACAGTAATGTAAAATAAGCACTATCTTTGAACTTACTGCCAAAAATAATATGAAATTCACCCCTGGTGTCATTCTGTCTGTCATCCCTTGCTTTGACTGTTCAAATGAGATGTCAACCATCAACATTGGATAAGGGGTTCCAGAGATATCACTGTGCAAAACACACCGGTCAATTTAGACCGAAAATAGCATGGGAAGGGGGGTATGACCTAACGCAAGAGAAGGGTTAACTATTTAGGATCCTATTGTGGACAATTGTAATAGTTATATTTGTGCCTTAATTACAGTACTTCATGTTTAGGAACTATTAAAGTAATGGCTAAAATGATAGTCATAAATACTTTAGATATTCCTAAGGGAAACTAATCACATTTTGAAGTGGGAACCCTATAATCCAGACTTGTTGTTCTGCTTTTCTTATGTTTCTTGGAATTCAAATTCAAGGAATACATTCTCCAATTAAAAAGATTACAACTTTTCCCGGTCACCGCGCAGTCTTTCCACCAGGGGGCAGCGTCACACCAGCAGACCCCTGACATCTCAGCTGAGGAAGATTCCCGCCGTCCAATCAGCGTGCAGCTTATTCTGCTACTGACCAATCACCTGCCACGGTGCATGGGCCGTTATTGAAGATGCATTTGGTGATGAGGGGGGCATGTGGAGCCAACTGTTGGGACAGAAAAGCTTCTCGCGAGTCCAAAGTTGGGCACTGCAGTCTTCTTATAAACATGATCTCCGTGTCTGGCGTTTTGGCGCTCGGACTGTTTTGGTCTGCTCTGGGCACTGAGGGAGACAACTTATCAGGTTTGAGGAGGCTACAGAGGGAGTTTGGCAGTGATGAAGAGCGACATAGTTTAGAGAAGTCGGAGCTCTCGAAACGCAGCGCTGGACTGAATGAACAGACATGTACAGCCCTGCATGGAGTAGAGTCAACCCTGCAGAACAGCACCCACTCTGTAAGTGACTTGTTTAGGTTTATTTTGAACCACCATAACAACATAAAACTTTCAGAAGAGGGGAAGTAGCCTCGTCTTAATGCTTGCTGCTATTGGGGTAAACTCACAGGCTACTTCCAATGAGTCTTTGGTCACATGGAGCTGCAAATAGTGTGTCCACACATTTTCAAATTACACCACCAAACAGATAGACCCTGATAACGTTAGATGATATAACTTGAACATTTATACTGCAACAGAGGGAATGCTTCTGTTTGAAAGCCATCTGTAATGTTAAAAGACACACGTAAACGATCTGTATGACCTTTCTAGTAGTTCCTCCTAACCGTGTTAATAGTTGATCGATCATAAAGTCAACATTTGCCTCCACCTTAAGGAGTTTTTGCTTCTCCTTTTAGTACACTGGAGTCCAATTAATATATTTGGGTTGTGGACAGATGGACTTCTAGGAATGACTGAAAGAAGTGAACATTTGCATATATTGCAAATGTTTTGATAGAACTACACTGCTTTTTGTTGATCTGAATAATGCAGGTTGTCAGTCTCTGTCCTTTCCATTAGTCCATTCTGACATCTGACGAATGGTATAGGGTGTAATACAGTTGGTGTTAATTGTTTGGTCTATAACATTTCACAACATAATGAACAATGTTTTTCCCAGTTGCTCAAACCTGAGTAGATGTCTTTAAATACCTTGTTTTCTCAGTACAAAACCCAGCATCCTCAGGGTTTTTTTAACCTTTTTTTTTTATAGACTTGAACTCTTTTATAACCTTAACCATGATCCCACTTTATAATAGACCAAAGTACACCTTCTGTTATTTTAGTACAGAACATGTTGTAATAGCAAGCACAACAACAACCACCCAGATGTCCAGAGGAATGTTGAAGAATAATAGGACCAGACGTGGTCCAAAGCTGTGTGTGTGTGTGTGTGTGTGTGTGTGTGTGTGTGTGTGTGTGTGTGTGTGTGTGTGTGTGTGTGTGTGTGTGTGTGTGTGTGTGTGTGTGTGTGTGTGTGTGTGTGTGTGTGTGTGTGTGTGTGTGTGTGTGTGTGTGTGTGTGTGTGTGTGTGTGTGTGTGTGTGTGTGTGTGTGTGTGTGTGTGTGTGTGTGTGTGTGTGTGTGTGTGTGTGTGTGTGTGTGTGTGTGTGTGTGTGTGTGTGTGTGTGTGTGTGTGTGTGTGTGTAGTGTGTGTGTGTGTGTGTGTGTGTGTGTGTGTGTGTGTGTGTAGTGTGGTGTGTGTGTGTTGTGTGTGTGTGTGTGTGTGTGTGTGTGTGTGTGTGGTGTGTGTGTGTGTGTGTGTGTGTGTGTGTGTGTGTGTGTGTGTGTGTGTGTGTGTGTGTGTGTGTGTGTGTGTGTGTGTGTGTGTGTGTGTGTGTGTGTGGGTGGCGCCTCAGACACCTGGGCTAGCTTTGAGCATGAAAACGATCCGGCGTGAGAGCAGACCCCTCCTATCTCCTCGGGGTCTTTCCTCCCTCACAAACATTCCCCACGATTTTACAGCTTGACTCGACCTGAGCGCCAGTGTGGACTTAAATGTTCTGTTATCAGAGCTGCAGGGCTGGATCAGACAAGGTGTTTACATCAGTCGTTTTAACTCCTTGTTTTATTTATATATGGTGTAATATATGCCAGATCAACTTAGTCTACACAGCATGTGTTCTGTTCACCAGCCTGAGCTTTTTTTCCTGTATGTTTGTGTAAGGTTAATTTAGCTGACGCAGTCTGGTTCGAAAACTAGCTTGCTGTTCCTTTACGATTATTTTTTTCCTCCTCACTCCATCCCGTCCTCTATCCCCTCTGGCCGAAAGATCGTAGAGAAAAAACATGTTCTGTTTTCAGGGTGAAGCATAATGGGTGGGAGCACCAAGAAAAGCAGCAGAGTTGATGTTCCACATGGTGGGTGAGAGATAGGGAGAGAGAGAGAGAGTTATGGAAAGTATGTGTTTGTTGATATACAGGGAGAGATATCCAATGAGAGCAACAAACTGGTGAAAATAGAGAAGCACTGTGAGGTAGAATTGTGCTTGAATTTTAGAAGCTGTAGAAGTTTATAAAGTATGTTTTCATCTGAGTTTGCATTTAATTGCATCCACACCAGTGCTAAAAGTTGATTATCATACATACAACTGATACATGTTTGTAAAGTCAAATGTTTCTATCATCAAAAATGCCATTACTTTGCTGGTTCTAGCTTCTCAAATGTAACAATTTGCAGATTGTTCTCTGTCCTGCATCCATGTAGATGTAATCAGGACTACAGGCAATTATTTTCTTGATTAATCACTGAATTGTTTGTTGTAAAAAATATAACAAAACTTGGACTTTGAGTCTACAGTCATGCTTGAAACTCTACACAGGCACAATGGTGCTTTGTCTTGATAAAATGCATATAAAGATATATCACTAAATGCTAATATGAGCAACACATGGCTGGATTTCTTGAACAATATATATAATACAGCCCAGCTTACCCAGCTGAGCCCAGCATCAGAGGGTTGGTGTACACAGCTTCATGTGTTTAGATCAGAGCCAAGAGAGTTTGACCTCCTCTTCTGAAGTTCTGTGCGTGTAAACACGGCTGAAGCAGAAAGGTTAAAACCCAGAGCAGAGGGAATAAGGAGCTCATTGTGCTGGCGTCCGACTTCTGAGAGGAACTCGCTGTGCTCCCACCCACCAACAGGGTATGACTGCGTCTGCATGGACATGTGTGTGCGTTCATGTACAGCAGAGTGGGTAACATTCACTTGTGCTTCACTGTTCATCTTTGAAAGTTGATCTACTGACACACACCTGGAGTGTCATGAGCTTTTGAGCAGATGAAGCTCAGAGGAGCAAGTCCTTAAATTAAACATGTGATGCAGCATGAGGTCATGTCTGGTTTGTGAGGCCACAGCCAGCAGGGTCAGGCATTTATCTCTTCACTCTTTTCGCTGACTAATAACTCAAGCATCTTTTCTTCTCTTCACTGTCTCCCTCTGTGCTTCTGTTATCCCCATTACAGAACAGGACCAAGTGGTTAATAACCTTTTCCCGTTCTGCTTAACCCTTCTCCAGCAGTTTTCACTCAGTCACAGCTTTCACAGCCTTTTTTCATCTGACCTTTTTTTTTATCATGCAGTTGTTGGTTGTTTTGGTTTCAGTCTCAGTGAAGCTGTAGCCGCTAAACAAACATTCAGCATTTGTCCAGTCAGGGGTTTCAGGGGAGCAGATGTGGAAAACATCCTGCGTGTTGGATTCAATACAGGTGTGCAAGCTATTGGCAGAAACTTTTGCAAAGATTTGATCCTAAAACAATACACATTACACACCCTGAATCCTGCTGACCTGCAGTGACCTCGGCAGCTATGCTCAATGTGACCACACTTCTTACTTTTGTAAAGATAACTTTTTTTATTGCTTTTCCTTTCTTTTCTATGGGAGTTATTTGCGTTGTGATAACATCCAGAATAAATGAATGTTCTATGTTGCAGAGTAGGGTTTATTGTAGAGCATGTTTTTGATACTCATTTTTGACCTTTCGGATACATCAGCCAGTAGTCACGTTTTTGACATAAATACACCTCCATCATTATTAGATGTTCTTTGTGTTGTCTAACTAGCACACTTTACCATGCTAAACAGCTAAAATGCAAAGTAAATGGGGTTGATGATACATCGACTAAACATGTAGCATTGTAAGAATGATAGCATTCTGACGTTAGCGTTTAGCACAAAGTGTACAAACTGCAGCATCATAGTTCTGCAAACGTGGCTGTAGGCTCTTCGTGTTGACCAATAATTGTTTCATGTTCGTGCTCCCTAATTAAAATAGAATATAATTTGAATGATATGACACTTCTTCGTAAAGTTATAATAAGAACTTATACAGTATTTGTTTGTTCTTGCTGAAAGATATTTGTTCCCTGAAACAAAAGCTGACTCTTAGTAAATGTATTTTAATTGTGTTGAAAATAATTCAAATCAGTGAGTTTTGAAATCCTTGCTTTCACTGTACTTATAACAAACAAAATGGGTTTAAAATCCCAGTCATAACCTTAGATATATGTTAGTTGTCATTATAAAGCACAGATAATCAGGCTAAGACCATGAAATGGCTTAGTTTATTATATGAAACTGTAGTTTTCATGGTTCTGTCACACTAATGTTGTGATTATTGCAATAGTAGTATTGATATGGTTGTTAATGATTATAATTATGAATCAAAGCCGGTTTGCATGTTACGATGGGAGGACAGAGAAGTATTCATGGGTTACCCACATTGATCTCTTCTTAACGTCAATACATATTATGAGAAAAAGTGGATTTTTGTGCATCCATTAAGTCCCGCTTAAACCTCAAGTATGACCATAACTTCGATGTTTCACCCGTATCTAAAACCCATAATAGCCCTTTACTTTAATACGTTTTTTATTTCACTATAATCACTTTTATTACATGGAAACAGAGAAAAGCAGGAATACAGGGAAATAGATCAAACTGACATGAAACAATATTCCCTGAAAGATTTGAAGCCAAAACACTGATTTATTGGCGCGAGACTGTTTGGAGGACAGGACTCGTCATGCTTAACATTTTCTAACTAAATACCAGATTGACTTAATTACTGCAAAAAGAGGAGGTTAAGTTGTCAGGCAATAAACTGATGGAGATTCAAGAATAGTTTGATGCAGGCGAGGGGGTGATGAAGTGATTTATGTAGAGAATAGATGGAAAGTTGTGTTCACACACTCGGATATTCGCAGCTGGCCAGTTTCCACTGGACCTGTTTACAAGGAGTTTCCAGCAGCCAGACCTGGCCGTCTCCTGTGGCTTTATAGAGCGGTGTGCAGACTCTCTGGGGCTCGGCTCACCTTGTAAACATCTCTGCCCTGCCAGAGAAAGACAGGAGGGGAGAAACCTTTGGTGGCTAAATATGTTGCTGAAATTACCAAACCCTTGAATGTCACTCTGGGTGAACAGACTGGAATCTGGCAGTCAGTGCACTTGTTGTGAAATAAAAGTTCAGGACAGAACTCTTTCCTCAAATTACATCTAATATTATGTAACACTGCGGTTTTGTTTTTAAAATGTGTTATTGAATAACAAATCTTCTGCACAAGGATCCAGCTGAGGCTTAAAAAGTCTTGAAGGCATTGAATTAATTTGTCTAAAAACGAGGCCTTAGTTTGTATTGTCTCAAGTGAATTCTTTATGGTGTTTGTTTATGTATTGTATAATCTTTAGATAATTGGAAATACCACTTAAAAACAAATGCCTTTCTTATTGGCACCACTCAGATCCTAATAGCGGAATATTGCGTGTAAATTGAACTTTCCCTTGATTGACATAAAGAAACATTTAAAAAAGTTTTAAAAAAAACGTGAACTTAAACCGTAGGACACCAGTCCGTAGAGTCATACATGTATTTTTTTCACACAGAATAAAAATACTTTGAGCGAGTGTTTAAATGTGTGTGTGTGTGTGTGTTCTTGCTGTGCTCGGGCCACGGGTAATTGTTTTGTTCTCTGGCCTCGGCTTTGTCATTAGGCGGGAATGTAGGTCACACATGCAGAGTGCATCCAACTGGCCGAGTTACTTTGGACAGTAAAAACAATGCAATGTCCTCTTGTTCAGCGCGGGACAGAAACACACACACACACACACACACACACACACACACACACACACACACACACACACACACACACACACACACACACACACTCTCTTGTGTTTTGTTTAAGACTAAACTGTGTACTCTTGAGTGTGAATTTCCTTCAGTCGAGTGAATATTAAGCAAATACCATGTGCCTGAAATATTTTAAATAATCATAGTCAAGGAACATTGCGCAAGAATGACTCAGATTGATTGTTTCCTAAAAACTCACTTTTTTTCCTTTCATTACAGTTCACCTTCAAAGTGAGCACCATGGGTTCACTGTCACTGGCCTGGGTGGGAGACGGTTCCGGGGTGAGTTTGTTTACATGACTGAAAATGTTTGAATTAAATATACGAATATGTTGCAAGACTGTTGTGTTATCCTGCTTCTTCTCCCAGGTCCTGCTGGTGTTGACCACATTCCAGGTGCCGTTGTTCATGATGCGGTTTGGCCAGTCCAATCTCTACAAGAGGTGAGAAATACCCAGTGGAAATGTTGCAGTTAATTATTAGTCATAGCTGTGGTCAGAGGGTCTAACTGCAACGTTGTCACTGTGTCAGTGAAGACTATGGGAAGACGTTCAAAGATGTGACGCACCTGATCAACCACACCTTCATCCAGAGCGAGTTCGGCTTCGCCATCAGTCCTGACCACTCTGGCAAGGTGAGCCGAAATGTTCACATTATGGAGCTTAATGGTGGTTTGTGTGTTGGTCTTGTAATAACACAGGAAATGATAAGTCTAATGTTATGTTATTAGTGTATGATGGACATTTCATCTCTGTGTTTGGTTTCAGGTGATTCTCACTGGAGATGTGTCAGACGTCGGGGGGTTTAAACTGTTTCGCTCCCAGGACTTTGGCTTGACCTTTGTTCCAACCGACCTGCCGTTTGAGCCCCTCATTCAGATGCTGTACAACCCCGGAGACTGCAACACACTTGTGACGCTCAGTATCATGGTAGCAGCTTTCAATCTTTAGACCAAACCAAATCGATTTGAGTTTAAAACTTAATCACGTTTCATAATGACATGTTTGACTTCTTCTAAATCAACAATATTATCAAAAAGTCCTAACACAAAAGTCTATGAACACTTCTTTACTAACTGAGCCTTTTCCCTCCAGTTGGACCTGTGGCTGTCGGAGGACTTTGGCGCCACCTGGAGGAAAATCCATGACAGTGTTTGTTTGGTCAGATGGTGAGAATTCTCCTTTACATAATCTGTCAGTCTTGTAATAAATTATAAATACACACAAGGTATTTGGGTTGATGTTGGTACTAAATATGTTACAGATGGCATACTGAAGAACCCGGACTAAATAGGGATACGAATGATTGGGTTGGGGGCTTGGACCACGTGTTTAAATACTATTACTTATTAGTCATTGGCAGTTAGTTATTCATATTCATTTTTTCCCTCTCCCTTGACAACCTGATGATTTACGTCATCATAGCTACTACTAAATAAAGCCCTGAAGCAGAGACTTTATTGGTGTACTATATGGAAAATCATATATTTATGTTCCATGGCGCACACACAGCAGTAAATCCATAAACTGTAAATCCAGATAGAACAATTTGAGAACATGCTTTTAGGGTCAGGCTGCCGTCCTTAAGTAAAAGACAAGAGTACATAACAGCATATTTGTCTCCACACAGCCTCCGTGTTTGTGTGTGTTTTATTTGTCCATTTTTGTTATTCCAGCTGTTTTTCTCACCACAGTTTGCATCACTCTCCTGACTCTCCTGCTTTCATTGCTTTTGGACACCTCAAGTTCACATGGGGTAGTGGTGGTGTCAGCCTGTGGTTGTGAGCGCTGCATTGTGGGAACATTTTGATAGCTCTGCGTGACCACAGCTGTTATTTAGACCCCGACTTAAATTGACAGCAGAGAGAGGGAGCTGAGGCTGCAGTCAGAGTGAGTCATGAGTCAGCGAAGGCATTCTTATTCAGCCCACAGTCCTCGAACCGGCAGAATCTCTGCAGTGTGAAAACCTTCGTCCCCTTTGGCAGCGAACAAAGCCAGATTGGTTGGAGCTCAGCCCGGGAGGGTTTGATGTTTGCACCGCTAGCAAAGCACTTAGAAAAAACCACAACCATAATCTATGATCTCTACCATTTCTCAAAGTCATTTACATTTGAACTCAAGAGAACTCTAGAAGTAAAACATTTTTGATCTTTCTACAGATTCATTCCTTTACTGTTTCTTCATTTTTCTCAAATATAGGGGTCCAAAAAACAGCATCTACTTTACAACAAACTACAATGGATCATGCAGTAAGTGAACACAGTTTATTCACATGTCTATTTAAAATCCTGCGTTACATGTAGTAATTCCTCTTTCTTCCTGTTAGAAGATAAAGGAATGCTGGAGTTAAAGAAGACAGCAGATTATGGTCGAAGTTTCCAAACCATTGCAACCAGAGTTTTCTCCTTCGTACTGGGGGGGCGCTTTGTTTTTGCCTCCATCATGACTGGCAAGGTAAGTGTGTGTCTCTCTGCAAGTAAATGTTTCGAAAAATTACTCGAAGGACCAGTTAACCCATATCACAAAAAACCTATCATTAAAAAAAAAAAGCAGTATCTAGCCTTTGTGGACTGTCTTAAGGCAGTGTTGGATCAGAATATGATTGATTCAGCCAGGCCACATCTTGAGGTAGTTTAACTCATATCGTGATCAGTTAATCGCATAATAAGGATATTTACCCGAAAATACCTTTGTCTCTTTTTGCGAGCTAAAGGTACAGCGCAAGCTCAATTCGGTTACTGTAGCTATCAAGTTTTCCCTGGCAAAAAAGGGATTAAAAACAGAATGAACCCTGTCTATGGCATTGCTATCTTTGACCTTAACATGTTCCTGTGTGTGTGTGTGTTAGGGGACACAGCGTAAGATCCACGTGTCGGTGGACGGAGGTAAAGTGTGGAACATGGCTCAGCTTCCTACAGTCAACCACGAGCAGTTCTACTCCATCCTGGCATCCAATCAGGACATGATATTCATGCACGTGGACGACCCTGGAGGTCAGAACCAGTGAGGATGCTGCTGATAGTGATGATTGATGTGGATGATGATGCTGATTACAGATGATGCTAATGATTAACAAAATGGTTGATAATGCAAAATCACCTCCATTTGAACAGTCTCATTAGATGTCCTTGAAAAATACCTCCAAGCTGCAGAACGTTTCTCTGCAGGCGTCATCAAGCAGGAGCCTTGGGGCTGTCATACAAAGTTAAATCTGAACCTGTGTGTGTGTGTGTGTGTGTGTGTGTGTGTGTGTGTGTGTGTGTGTGTGTGTGTGTGTGTGTGTGTGTGTGTGTGTGTGTGTGTGTGTGTGTGTGTGTGTGTGTGTGTGTGTGTGTGTGTGTGTGTGTGTGGTGTGTGTGTGTGTGTGTGTGTGTGTGAGTGTGTGTGGTGTGTGTGTGTGTGTGTGTGTGTGTGTGTGGTGTGTGTTGTGTGTGTGTGTGTGTGTGTGTGTGTGTGTGTGTGTGTGTGTGTGGTGTGTGTGTGTGTGTGTGTGTGTGTGTGTGTGTGTGTGTGTGTGTGTGTGTGTGTGTGTGTGTGTGTGTGTGTGTGTGTGTGTGTGTGTGTGGTGTGTGCGTGTGTGTGTGTGTGGTGTGTGTGTGTGTGTGTGTGTGTGTGTGTGTGTGTGTGGTGTGTGTGTGTGTGTGTGTGTGTGTGTGTGTGTGTGTGTGTGTGTGTGTGTGTGTGTGTGTGTGTGTGTGTGTGTGTGTGTGTGTGTGTGTGTGTGTGTGTGTGTGATCAGACTCAGGTGTTGGAACCATCTATGTGTCAGATGACAGAGGAGCTGTTTTCTCCAAATCTCTGGAGCGCCATCTTTACACGACCACAGGAAGCGAAACCGACTTCACCGCCATCTCTTCACTCAGGGGCGTCTACATGACCAGCGTTCTCTCAGAGGGTGAGTCAGCACACCGAGTTATATGTACTTACACATTTAAGACGAGTCTTCGGGTACCTTTTTGTCAACATTTTGAAATATGATATCATTTATTTTCATTTTAAGAATTGCTCTTCCAATTTGGCTCTTAATTTCTCTTCGCCGCACTGGAACATCACAGTGATGATGTAATAGTATGTTTGTTAAAGTTAGTAAACCATCTGATGTTTCTTATCCACAAATATATTTTTTATTTTTAAGACAGTGACTTATTATACTATACAATGTAACTTTATTCCACCTTTGATCCATGCCATTGGGTGGCAAATCCTGTATACATGCCCAAAAAACATTTCAACCAAACACAAACTGCTTTCCATTGTGGCTATTTTATTGGGTGTTTTTATAGCGTTGATTGTGAATACAGTTTGGCATCCTACATTTAGAATCCTTCCTTGAACTCACTATGTAATGAGTCCTTACTAATCCTTATAATTTAATATAAAGTCGACTAAATGTTCACTGCCATTGATGCCAAACAGATTTTCGATTGGTTGAATTAGTCGATTTTTCATTTTCTCACCATAGTAGTATAAACTAAGAACAGTTGCTACATAGAAGGTAGGATATGATGAGTCCACGGATTTAGGAAAATGTTTTCAAAAATGTAGTTAGATAGTTGTGTACCCATATGGATACTGAACTGAAGTGAATGTTATTGACTGCAGATGGTGCAATGGAGACAGTGATCACCTTTGACCAGGGAGCAAAATGGCAGACGCTGCGCAGACCACAGAACAGCCACTGTGACACCGAGACCTCGACCAACAGGCCTAACAGAGTGAGACAAACATTCATGCATCATTTAAATATATTCAGTTTTATCTTTGAGTATTTCTCATTACTTCTGGAGTGTTTCATTTATTCACTTAGCTGTTTGAGTCTTGTTATTATATGAGATCAGTTCTGTTTCTTGTTTCTATGGAATTTTAGCATAAGAAAATATGAGTGTCTTCATGTGGACTTGGTACCAACATATAATCATGTGTTTACAGTGCAGACTCCTCATCCACGCAGCCTACAGCATCACCATGATGATGAACGTCCCCATGCTGCCTCTCTCACAATCCAGTGCTGTAGGCATCATTCTTGCCCATGGTAAATAAATACAAATATACAAATAAATACTTTTACTGCATGGTGAGATGTTTACTTACACCATTGTCCTGCGTTTCCTCAGGCAGTGTTGGGGATGAAGTGTCCTCTCTCTCACCTGATGTGTACGTGTCTGATGACGGGGGCTACTCCTGGATGTTGGCTCTCAGAGGCCCCCACCATTATGCTATAATGGACTCTGGGGGGCTGCTGGTGGCTGTGGAGCAAACCAACGCTCCTGTCAACCAGATAAAGTGAATATACCTACACAATGAGTTTATTTTAGTATCGTTGGTAGCACTTTTTATGAATACCATGTGTATACTGCATTAAATATATACGTAAAGCATTATAATCTGATTTTAGCACATGTATAATAATAGTTATATCACTCCTAAATATTCAAATGCTTATCCATCATAACACCTTCTCAAGCATTTGTAATGTATTACAAGATAAAGTATCATAATACTTTTAAGGGTCATAGTTTATTATATTTCTCATAGCAATATTAATATAACATATACTATATATATATATATATATATATATATATATATATATATATATATATATATATATATATATATAATTATTTTACAATGCATTATCTAATAACTATTCTGAGGTATAGGCATATATAATGCTTAACAAGTACATAGTCATTGTTTGCTTTAATTAAAGTGAAATAAATATCAATAAATCAATGCAAGAACAACTCACAAAGCATTGTAACAGTAATGTATTTATTTAACGAGTCATGACAGAATGACAATTTTGCCTCTCACACCCTCAGGTTTTCCACAGATGAGGGGCAGTGTTGGCATACGTATAACTTCACCAGCGACCCGCTCCACTTCAGCGGCATGGACAGTGAGCCCGGCTCCCGCTCCATGAACGTCAGCCTGTGGGGTTACAGGAACGACTTCAGCAAATGGGTGGTGATCACCATAGACTTCAGGAAGATCCTCACCAGAGACTGTGAGTATGTGGGACAATGAGGGTTTAAGAGAAAGGGTTTTACCTATTGACTAACTCAGTGCTTGTGTACATGTGCAGGCACTGAGGGGGACTATGTGCAGTGGCTGGCTCACTCTGCAGACCCCAGTGGATCACATGATGGCTGTGTGCTGGGCTATAAGGAAACCTTCCTACGCCTGAGGAAAGACTCTGTCTGCTGGAACGGGAGGGACTATGCCATCACTAAGAAGCTGTCCCCCTGTCCGTGTACAATAGAGGATTATCACTGGTATGTTTTTGAAAAAGAACACAAATGGAATTAATGGAAACATATTTATCGTGTCTGTCAATTTCTTGTCTCACAGTGACTTTGGATATTACCGGCCAGAGAACAGCTCAGAGTGTGTGGAGCAGGAGGAGCTGAAGGGTCACCCTCTGGAGTTTTGTTTAAATGGGACCACCGAACAGCTTCAGACCAGCGGGTGAGGAGGCCTGTTTTTATCTTACTCTCTCTTTCCTTAGCCGTAAATATAACCTCGTATGTTGACCTCTCCACTTCACTTCCAGGAGCCTGCTACAGATTATTACGTTGAATGTTGTTCTATGAGAATGTAGTTCAAGAATAACTACATCGTACATACAATAAATACAAGGTTCATGAAGGCGTGTGGTGCAGTGGGTTGTGTGTTGGTGTTCGGATCAGGGGGTCACAGCTTCAAACCCCACTGCAGTCAGCATGTCGTTGTGTCCCTGGGCAAGACACTTCACCCCAAATTGCTCCTGTGGGGATTGCCCACAGTATTGAGTATGTAAGTCGCTTTGGATAAAAGCGTCTAACAAGTGACATGTAATGTAATGTAATAATGAAGCAACATAATAAAGGGTTCCTTAGTTAAGTCACTAATGGAGGGTTGCAGGAACAAGTCCTTAACACTGTTAGCATTTTAAATGCCCAAGCCAATTCCAATTACACTGCAAAAATCAAACAAGTGGTGTTAATCTTGCTAAAGTGTAAGTATCATTTACCAAAGAGTTTATTTTATTAAATAATCCAAAATCCAATGGAATAAGAAAATGGTACTGTCCCTGCAGCACTCTATAGTGGACACAATTAAGTATAGGGTTTGAAAGCAACTATAAAAAACTTCACAAAACATCTTAGTATGCTTCTATTTTTCTTCATTAGTGTTAAGAATCTTATGTTTAGTCTACCTGCTGTCTTGTCCTGCCCTGTGTAATTTTCTTTGCGATTTGTCTTGCCTGACGTGTCTCTCTGTCTCTTCTTAAATGTAAGCTACCGGAAGGTTCCAGGAGACCAGTGTGAGGGAGGTTTTCAGCCCGACAGGAAGGAGACAGACCTGGGGAGGATGTGCACCAGCAACGTCCTTTCTCCAAACTCTCTGGTCAGTCTTGCTCCTTCTGAGAAAAATACTAGGTAGGCTAGAAAGACAGTATCTACCTAGTTAACATTGGGATGGGTTAGGGCCTGAGAATCAAAAGGGGAACCTCTGATCTTTGTCATGGTGAACACTGAAGGCATGTGTTAGTTACCTAGTAGGGGTGTGGCACGACCCGATCATGTTTGTTTGATGTATTTATTTGAGGAATATTACAGTCTCTTCTCTAAGCTGAGAGACAGGAAGTCTGGTGAATCTTTTTTTCATTGAATTTCGCATGTCATTTCTTCACGCCTTTCTTCACGTTTGTGTAACTCGTTACAGACTGAAGACAGTTCACCGAACACTGCTGTCATAGTGATGGTTGTCATAGCGATGCTTCTGTCGAGTGCTGTTGCAGGCGTTTGGCTGGTTAAGAAATATGTCTGCGGAGGACGGTCAGTTAAATATGTTACATATGTCTGCACAAAAATAAATGAACACTGTTAAACACTGTATTTCATCTCTGTTTGTTCCTCATGTCCTCACCAGGTTCCTCGTGCATCGATACTCTGTCATGAGAGAGAATGTTGAGGCTGATAAAATAGAAGGAGTCGATGATATTGACACACACTACATGGAGACAGGAAAAGCACAGTACAATGAAGACTCAGATCAGGTATCTGGTTCTGTGTCAAATTACTTTTTCAGTTCTTCTTTGTGATTATCTTCCTCCCTTATAAGCATTGTTTGTGTTTCTCCACAGGACCTGTTAGAATAAGGCGGACATTTCTCCCTCAAAGGCTCTTCAAGACTACATTTAACACAGTCTTCGTGATGCCTGGGCACCCGTGGTGCTCCCACATGCCGATTAACATCTTTTTTTTCACTTCTCGCTATCCCCTGGTGGCTGGAGGACTCTGCAGAATCTCACATGGCTTCCTTTTACCAGTCGAGGCTCCCATAAAAAAGGTTGAACCGTTTTTTTGGGGAGGGGGACAAACCCAGCGCAGAACAGAAGGAAAGCTTCTGGGGTCCCTGGAGAGCTTTTGTAGTGTCTGTCACAAAGAGTTCTGCAAAGACCACTGAGTCTGAATACATGCTCTGTATGTTCCCTTGCATGCTGACCTGAGAAAAGATGGCCTTTCATATCGTGATGCATTGCAGAAGCATAATACAGAGGCTAGATATAAAGGCTTACAGAACATTTCACACAATAAGAGTTAGGGAACTGCTAATCAACAGAACACAGAAAGTAGTTATCATACTTTAGCTCAGAGATTGTCTGCTGACACTTAGGTAGTTTTTGTACTCTGTAAACTTAATAATTGCAACATACAGTCCTGTTGTAAATGGCGACCATTTTAATATTACTTTTGTCTGCTTCACTAGTCACTAAGATAAGGCTACGCTACTCACTATGAGTTCTTGCTAATCACAAGTTCCTAAGAATTCAAGGTATTGTTGTAACAGCTACTAAGAGCTGTAGTGCCTCCTTTAATGTTACTGGTCATCGTCTCTGACTAGTGACATCTTGTTTTGTTCTGAAGGAAATATACTTCCATTTTATTCAGGTGATGCACTATAGATAAACATATTTCATACCACTTTTATTGTTTTATAATTGTAATTATTAAAACATTTTTAAATTGATAGAAAAAAAATCTGATTTTAATGTCAAATTAACCAGAACAAACAAGTTCCATTTTTCTAGAAAATAAAAGACAAATAAGTGCCTATTTTAGACTAAATTATAACTTTTATCAGCTGACAGATAAATGATGCCCAATAAAACAATACTTTATTAGATTGCTAAGAAATGAATGCTAAAGTGCCTTGTGAAACTTTCGGAATAAATGTTAAAATGGCCTGCCATTGTTGTGAAGACATCAAATACAAACTCATTTTTTTTATACAGTGCAGCTTCATACAAGCAATTGTATTATTCCCCTGTATGTGTTGTGAAAAGACTTGAATATTTGCCAAAGCACTTTTATTGAGTAGTTTGTAGAGGAGTGAATTGTAGAGGTGAGGTTGTAGAGGTGAAACCTAACCTTAGCCCAGCATTATATAAAGTATTAAGGTAATGCTAACTCAAACTCTTTACTTGAACTTTCAGATTTTAATTTTTCTTTTGCTTAACAGGGTGCACCAATATGTTGTTGTGTTTTAAATATTTTGTTTTTGTCTTATTTGGCTGATATTTTTCTATATTAGCCAATTCCAATGTCCATGTGTCTCTATCTTAATGCAGGTGAAGAATCATCAAGATAATCAAGTGTCTTCTAGAGACCATGTTGGCTTGTTTCCTTTTATTATTTTGACAGCAGAAAAACAATATTTACAGCAAAAACATTTCCAGAAATGAACTGACACTGCTTTTTTAAAGCTTTTTTTTGCCAGTCTTATGATATATTGGTGCATCCCAACTTAATAATATAATAGATTCTGCTAAATATCCACAATAACAGAACTTAATTTATCAGATTAATGTCTGGTTGCCATAACGAGCATATACTTTATGAAGTTTATTGAGTTGTATCATTTTCCAAGATGACATTTCACTGTGTTACATACATTGTTCAAATGATATGTTGGATTGCAATCATTTGTTTTCTGCAAAACTGTAACTTTTGCCGTGTGCAGGGCCTTTGGCTAATGCTTGTTTTCTCTAGCAGAGTCAATATTATCCCAGTGAATAAGCTATTTTAATAAGCTGGCATTTTCTCAAGGACTGTTGGGTGGACTTTGTTAGATATGAAAGCAAATTAATATGCTTGATGCTTCTTTATTTACACAACTGTCAGTAAGAACAAACCCAGCTATTTACTGGATTCAATGATTTATTTTTGCACTGTATCTACAGATCTGTGAAAGGGTTGCATTTGTGGCTACTTGTACATCTAACTTTTGTTTGGTATTTGGGCAATGAGTTGTGATCTTCATTCCATCTTGTTTTCTTGACTGTTTTCTAGAATATCAGAGAAAAGTATCTCTGAATAAAACTATTCTGTAGCACAAATGTTTTATAACAATGTCGGCATTTATTGAATGAAATGACACAATCTCTCTTACATCTGTTCAGATATGCTTGGCTGTGGTTAATGCAAAATGTCTATTATTGCAACAATACTTAGGCAAGTTCCAAAAAAATATATAGTATGTTTATATCAAAGTACATCTCACTTAAATGTAATCTCTAGCAGTGTGTATTTATTATTATTATTGCATGATAGGTGAGAAGTATTACAATTAGCCATTCTATTCAAAATACTACTGATGTAATTGTAACAATGGCTAACATGTCTTCATGCAACACAACAAAACTTTAGCTACAAAAAGGTAATAAAGATGATTGAACAACCCCTATGAATTTAAAAACAGACCTATTAGGTATTTCCATTATTAAGGCTTAATATTTTCTCTATAAATAGAATGTTTGGTTAGATAATCATCAGACAACCAGAGGTTCTCATAGCTCAACGTGTCACCCTTCAAATATTGTGTCCAGGCAATAGTGTAAAATTCCCAATCGTTAGAAATAAATGGAAATTATAAGAAGGAAATATGTGAAAGATGACTTAAATTATTAAGAGAGTTTAAGCTGTACATGTATTGGCTGTCGGTGATAATAAAACACTTGTGCATAGATAGTATATTTAGTATGCAGAGATCTTAATTTCTATAGTGTCTGACCGTCAGTAAAATCAAGTGAAGTAAGACGTATAATATATCGAAAGGGAGGGGTTGAGCTTGGTGATAATGAAAGGAGCATTCTGGAAGTTAGGGAGGCCATATCAGGAAGTTCTCAGTTCACCTGAGTTGAAGGCCAGACTGTTGGTGCACATAGAGAGTAACTAACTACACTGCAACAAATCTTCTTAATAAGGAATGTTCCCAAGCTTAGCTAAGATGTGTGAGAAGTAGTAAATATAGATAAACATTAGCAAATAAGAATCACACAATGATATTATTAAAGTAGCCTAAGTGAGTATAATATGTTTCTATTACAATTCCACTCTTTTGATCATTTACTGATCACATAAGTAAAATCCAAAATATTTTCACAGGATCATCAAAAGAAATGACTACATTTCAATCTAGGTCATCATTTTGTAAAATAAACTCCCGCCACAATCCATCAGAAATGTATAAATTAATGGTATAAGTACCACAAATGTGTTCTTAAGTACAGTACTTGAGCATTATTCAACAACTGAAATAATGGAAATATAAATTCAACCACTATATCAAACATATCTATGACTCCTGAACTAAAGTAAGCATGACTAACCAGCAATTTCCCCCAGGTACTTAGTTCCCATTATTGTTAAAGCTCTTGGATAACTTGCATTAATGCTCTCAATATGGATAGTGTTATATCAGACGATTGTGTAACTATGAGGCTTTTATCAAACAATAGGGGGCGCCATACTCCTGGTTTATTTGTCTGAACAGCCGGAAGTTGTAGCCGCATTCATCGTTTTGAATCTGTAGTTAACTATGCTAACTGTGTGTTGTTAGTTAGAGTGCGCTAGAGTTAAAAACGCCAGCTTTCTTTAGCTATATATATATACATATTTACAGAGTATCGGCGAGTTGTTAAGGCGTGAGGAAAAATGTAACTAGCAGCTGGGAAGTAATGTCAACTCATCACGGTGAGATAATTTTCATCGTTCAGGAAATAGCTTGCTAGCTAAGCTAGCTAACGTTAGCCCTGTCGTTAGTTAGCTAACTGGCACGTTCACTAGTAACGGTGGCGTGTTTGTCACCTGCCACTGCTTCACATATGTTACAGTTCACATGCCAGTAGCTAGCAAGGGATGCCATTGTTCTGTGTGTTAAATTAACATTTCACCCATTTATCCAACGTTTGCTGGCCAGGCTAATCGATCATGTTGGCCTTGTTATTGAAAGACCGTAATTCTTGCAAAATATAACAAGTTATCAGTTGGGTAAGGATACACCCAGGCAGCGCTCAGCTACGCTAGATTGTTTTTACTGCTGTCTATTTAGCTTCGATCACATACAACCACAACATTTGGCAAAATATGTAAGCCTTGGTGGCGTTACCATTTCAAGTAACGTTATAAAATAATACATTGAAGCCAGAGGTGGAAAAAGTACTTGTAGAAAAGATCTTGTATTTAAGTAAAAGTAAAAGTGGGAATACTCTGTTACAAGTAAAAGTCATGCTATCACAATGTTATTTAAGAAAAGTATAGCATCCAAATATGCTTAAAGTACTCATTATGCAGATTTCAGAATAATATATATAATGTGTTTTGTTTATAATTATTGATGCATTAAAGTGTTATCAAAGCTGGTAAAGGTGCAGCTATTACCAGCTATTTTAATTATTACTTTGTATGCCGCAGGGTAGCTTGTTTATTTTAATCCACGTGTAACTAAAGTCCTCTTTAAGGATTGTTTCTATTTCACATTATTAATGCAAATCTGCAAAGTAACTAATGGTATTACATCAATGTAGTAGAGTAAAAGTACACGATTTACCTCTGAATTGTTGTGGAGTGAAAGCACAAAATAGAAATACTTTGACATCAGCAGCATTATGTGATTGTATGGAAAATGCTTGTTAATTTAAAGCCTGGTTTATCTTACATGTTATAATTTTGTGTTCCAGACTTTGTTTGTTTACTATGAACGCCCTGTCGGCCGAGCCTCTGGCATCAAGCTCATCATGCAGAACGCTGCCTGGAGAGGGAAATCAGGTACAGTTATACAAAAACTATGACTGGTTTATTTGCCTGTATAATTATCCAACATCACATGTATACTTCATATAGAAAGCTAAATGTGGTACTGCTCTTCCCGCCCAGGTACAACCAAAAGCCCCTCTCCTGCAGATTCTGCGTGTTGCCGGAGCTCAGGAAGAAGTCTTTACACTCAAAGAGGTGAGCTGTCAAATTCAAGCATGTTTGTTAGTGTGCAGCCTGTCCGACTGGCTCATAACCAAGTGTTATTCAGACTATGTTCAGTACTGTGTTCCTATAGGTAAATATCTACCCTGTAGGTGCCTTGTGATATCTGATATTCAGTATTTTGTGTAGGTGATGCACTATTTGGGTCAGTACATCATGGGAAAGCAACTGTATGACAAACAGAGGCAGCACATAGTCCACTGCCAGGATGACCCTTTGGGAGAGCTGCTGGAGGTGGAGAGCTTCTCCGTCAAGAACCCGAGGTAATTATCTACACCAGAATTTAGCTCTTGGTCAACACTCAGTAATAATATATTAAACATCTTTAAAAAGGAGGGTCATTCTAATCTCTCATATTCTCCTTTTTCAGCCCGGTGTATGAAATGCTCAAGAAATATTTAGTTGTGCTTGGTGGTTCTGGTAAGTCGCATATTCATTTTTGGCTTTATACATTTGTTATATGAAATGCATGTTCTGTCAGGGGGCTTCATGAAAGGACACGGAATGTATGAATATATTTTCTATTAAACATTTCTGTTGATTTGAAACGCAAATATTTATTTTACCTCTTCCCTTTGGGTTTGACAAACACAGTATTTCATTTCTTTAACATCTTCATTAGCCTTATTTAAAAGGAAGCATCCGAGGTATATGGAGAATATCTAAACATGTTTCAGCCTTCTTCTTGCACACATTATGAATGATTGTGATAGTTTATGCATCTCTTGGACATGCAGGGACCAGAGCAACAGCATTCAAGCTTGTCCTAAAAAGCAGCAAAAGAAGGCCTTAGTGAGAGAGTGTGTTATGCTATAATTAAAGGGTGGGGTTGTCTTTTTTTTTCTGTTACTGTGTCTTATCTGAAATGCAGACGCTGCAGAGAATCTTTCTGTGGGACGTGAGTGTGTAGAGGGCGGAGTGGAGGATCGTGGTCAGGTAAAACCGAAACATGGTGCTCGGGAGAAACAGAGACCCCAAACCTTTCTCACCTCGCTACACACAGCATTTGTTAAAAAAATAAATAGATAATAAATGATATATTTGTATCATTCACGGCCACACACACTGATGCCAATGTTTGATTGAGACCAGTTGGCCTTAGTGTGGCAAGTGTAGCTAAAGCGAGCTGCAGACTGCTTGTGTGTAATGAGGAGGGGGGGGGGGGGCTGCTGTCTTCCTTGCTGTGAATTTGTACAGAGTGGCACCGTCTCTGTACAACCCCGTCCTTGGTTTGGTCTGGTGGTAATATCTGCACTCTTTTGCGATCCACCAGCACCACCCAGTGGATGGGGGGGCAGAGTCACCCTCTCTGTCTGTCTCAGAGTTTTCTTCTCTGCTCCGAAACTGGAGGATCGCAGCTCCTGATCCAGCCACAGGCCCTACCATAACCCCCCACCCCCGTGTTCCCTCACCCTTTTCAAAATCCACCTTAAAGCAGCTACTTCTGACTCTGTCTAACCCCTGATGAGCTGAAGCCAGTTCTTGGTTTTTCCTCACTGGCTTAATGAATGAAATCATTTACTCCATTTCAAATCCAAACACATGTAATAAATTATACTCTGAGGTTGTTGCCAAGTTTGATTCTGATGATGACCTAAATGTTTTTTAGTCCATATATATTTCCATATCTTAATTTCTGATTGATCATTTTTCCCATGGATATTTGGTTCAGTATATATCATAGTCACTACTTGAATGGAACTTTTAAAGTTGTTTTTTTAATCTTGACTCTCTAGTTTCTTCACTGTGTTTATTACACTGGCTTTCCTACCTCACCTTTCTCGTTCCCTTTTTTTCATTCTCCACATGGTTTTGCTCCCCCTTTTTATCTTAACAATGTGTTTTTACCTCCCTCCCCACTGTCCCGTACCCTAATTGCCCTGCCCCTTGTTCCCTTTACCCAGAGGCCACCTTGAAAAGGAGCTGCGAGCCCTCCAAGTACCCAGTTACGGCTCTGTTTCTAACTTTTGTCCTTCACATGTCCCCTCCCAGATATGTGGAGGTGTGGTCAAAGCAGGGCTGGAGGCTGTCAGTGCGGCGCCTCTCCTGCCGACCCCCTCCCAGCGAAGACCTCGGGAGCCTGACGA